TACACCACAATCGGAGAGATGTGGGCATCTTTGAGCAGAGACCCTGAATGTCCTATGAATGAAAGAATTTGTCTTAATAACTTATATCCATTATCTTAAATAAGCAATGTAGAAATGCCAGTTTTTACATTAAAAAACAAACAAAACAAAACTGGAATCAGTTCTTCAAATAATCAGGAAGGAAAAAAACAGAAAAGGGTAAAATAACATTTAAAAATACACTACATGAATCTGGGATTATTTTAATTGCTGAAATAGCATTATTGGGTAAAATTATTTTATTTTACACATAAATACAAACCTCAGTCATCTGAGGAAAAATAAGTACAGGTCTAAGGGAAGAATCTGTCCTCGATAGAGTATTTATTTAAAAAGACAAAAACACTACATTTAAGTTTAAGCTTTCCACGTGTAGTAAGTTCACAAGTACCACCACCTTCTCCTAAGAAATTATTTTCATAAACTTTCACCAAACGTTGATTTCTATGTCTCTAAAGTGTAAGCTAATTTTAATCTGAAATGAGAACTCTAGAAATTAAGAGCAGCCTCTAGGGCAATAGTTCTGAAATACAGAGGGAAATATTCTGAAATACAAAGGGCAGCTTTTACTTTTTAAACTTTTACTTCACCAACCTCACAGGAGAGGAGCTGGGCCCATCTGAGGAGACCACCGATAATAAAAACACAGTCACAAAACTGCAGGGCATCCCTTCATCGTTTTAAGGCACAGTCTGTTTAATCCCCAACGACTATAAGTTCAAGGTCACAGTGATAATATGCATTCCATTTGGTCTGGTTTCTCATGGGTACGTTGCTACATTTAGTTATTCCTAAGTTTAAGAAACCATCATACAATCACTTTAAAATAATACAGTTATTTTTATATTTTTTAAAAAATGTAAATACACAGTACAATTTCCTAATGTATATACAGTAAAAAGTGGAGTTTCCCCCTCCACCGTGGAGGAAGAGGTTATTTCTACCAATATCCCAACAAATACCTTTGAGTATGTGGAAAGCATGGTTATGTTAAATACAGGCATCTCTACTCAGAATAGGATTATTCAACACAAGGGACAAACTCATCCCAAAAAACCATGTTCACTTGATGTTTAGGGCCTGAATGTCATCTTTTTACTAATATCCACACGAGGTCTAAGTCCCCACTAGATTAATTCCCGCTGCCTCTTCACTGCCGAGGCTTCTTGTGTGAACGGCATCAACATTATCAGTGACATTAAACTACAGAAAATACTGCCCTATGAGGGGCTAAAATTCCCTTTGAGAATTCATATAGGGGAGAAGTTAAAGAATCTTAACCAGGTACACATAACAGTTTTTGAGTCTGTCATATTTCTACTTTTCTCGCAAGAGTACAACACTGGCTCAGTGCTAACACGTCAGCATTAACGGCTTGGTTTTTAATAATATTTTCCTTTAAGATGTGCATTTTAAAATATGTATTTCGTTGCACTATGTTGGAGTCAAGTGGATAATTTTCTCCTGTGAAATACGTGACTGTAACAGAGGGACTGAATGGAAATACAAAGAAAACAAATTCTATAAACTTTCATTACATAAGTGAGAGATACCTGTACTAAAAATGATCGGAAAACAGAATGTGAAGTTCTACATCACAGAATGAGTCTAAAGTAAGACTACTTCCAGCGAGTACGTCAATTTGTTACTGAAAAATCATTACTGGGTAAACTAATTGTCACCCCCAATATCAGAGAGCAGTATTCCAGAAAATAGATGAAACAGAACACAACTATGCTATATGCTTTATGTATTTTCAAAAACAAATTCGCATATGGACTATGTTTTGAGGATTTGCATATTTAACATAAGTCCTAAATGAAAAATACAGAAAAGATCACTTTTGCTTTAATCCCAATATGCTAAGGTAGTTCATTGGCACAAATATCTGGAGGTATCTTACATTTTCCTTTAGCTTTGGTGGCAAAGAGTGTTTTGCTAGCCATATGAATACAGTTATATTTTCCAATGAAGAGGCTGATGCTAAAAAAAATTCAAATATGTCTTTTTCTTAAAAAAGGGATGTAAAAAGTCCAGTATGAAACAAAACCAGTGAAACATGAAATATAAAATATGCCTATCATTTAGGCTTCTGAACAGTTAATAGTTAAATTCTCTGTCTATAAATCTTTTACTAGTAACATTACTATACAAATACTAAAAACCAAGATAACATTTAAAAAAACAAACAGCATACGAACTTTGCAAAAAAGGCTACTTTTAGACTTCCTAAACTAAGATTAGGATTCAAATATGCAAACAAATTTACACTCAACTAATCAAAATACAACAACAGTTTTTCTGTAAGTGTTCAAAGTTACAACGTACAGAATCAGTGCAGGAAAATTCTGACTCATCTATATCAACTTCTATACAAAGTCATCAGAAATTAACTGGTTACTTGGTATTTCAAAATAGTCGTTTTCTGGAAGCATAACACGCCAAATGCTTTTAGTCAGTACTGTACCTGATTTAAAAATTTTCAGCCATTGGCAATGTAGTCAAGATGTAGCTTAGACCATCACCTAACATTGGAAACACGTTACCAATTCAGGTGTAGTACTATACAGGGGTAGGCAAGAGTGGGTTTGTACAATTGTAAGATGTGAAGCTCACATTATAAGAATGTATAAATAATAATACATTATTATTATTAATTGTTCTCCATACGAACAACTGTAAGCCTACTTTTGCCCTTGCCTGTATTTATACTATGAAACAGCAGTCTATTCTATGTCCAAATTTTATTCCGTTCTTAGAACTGAGTCACTAATATACGACATTCAGTCTTCTGTGTTCATAATCTATTCTCAATAACAGTGAATTCTGGGGCATTTGTAGTAACTTACTCGGAGTGCTGGCCTGGCTTTTCTCTCCCATCATCCTTTCCTTATTAACAATGAAGAGCGTGAGCAGCTCATCGACTTTCTATTGCCTCGGGTTGCTGGAGAATGATGAGCGATATGTATAAATAAGAGCTCATTAAAGAATTTGAGAGTCCTTTATTTAAAGAGACTGGGATAACATTTAGCTCCCCATCATCTTAATATTCTGTAAAATCATCTTCTACATTTATTTACCAAAGTTTGGGGTCAGGGTCTATTTTCATAATTCGAAGAGGCTTTTTGTAGCTTCCTGTATCCTGGGGAGTGAGTGCCATGCTCTCCAAATTGCCCCCCCCCCTCCCCCCCCCCCCCCCCCCGCCAAAGCTTCACAAGGCACCTTGTTTCTTACGATACACAAGGTCACAAATCTACAGCACGGATGAGGAGAAGTAGCCAACCAATGCCCGGTCACAGGAGGTCCTGACGCATTTAAAAAACGTTCCCAACCTATTTTAATTTACTAAAATTGCAAATGCACTGATATGAAGTTTCCGCGTTCAACCTCACAATAAAGCAAGACATTACACTAATTTAGATGTAATAATGCCTAAGGTGAAAATACAGGCCAAGTATATTATCTGGGATTCAAGAATCAACAGCCTTAGTTTGTCTCATAATTTTTGTGTTCCCCTCATTCTCCCCAGAGCTTTTGGGAACGAAACTGCAAGTTGAGTTTTACCTCCCTTTATGTCTCTTGACCACCTTCTGTAAGAAGTGCTAATGAGCAGTGAGGAGAAATAAACTACCCTATCAGTGGAAACTCTGAAGAGTTAAGTATAGAACTAGATAATGAACAAACCAGATAATATACCTCCTCTAAGCACTGTCTGTGTGAGGGATACGATAATCAACAACACTTTCTGGGCCTACTATCGTCCTTGCTTTTTCCTCACTGTATAGTCATGTAGATATCATAGTGTAGTCCAATCAAGAAAAGGTTTCCATTACATAGCTAAGTTTATCTGACCAACATAGGAAAAGATGGGTTGACACATGATTGATGAATACTGAAGAGACTAAAAAAAAAAAAATTGATGTTAACTCGGCACAAATGATTTTTTTCTAGGACCACTATTTTAAAATGTTTTCTATTCTGATGAAAAAGAGTTAGCAGAACTTGTTGAATTTCTGGCATGAAAAAGATCCAGAGAAAAAGAGCTTTCATGATTTCTCTGGTGTTATCAGCTCTAGACCGTAAGAGCAGTCACGTCTGAGGAGGCTTAGAGATACAGAGTGCGGAGTGGTTTTCCTGCCCCAGTGACCAACAACAGGTCCAGTGGTGTTTTTTATACGCAAAACCTTCCTTAACACTCAGCAAATTCCCAATAAAAAGGCTGCAACATCAGAGCCCAGAAGTCTGATGAAGTAGATGGTCCCTGACTACCAACAGACAATATCATCTTTATCAGCATCACTGATGAAGCTGTGCTGCTGGGCCAGCTAAGAGCACGGGCTGCAAGCAAGACAGAAACAATGTGCATCCAGCACAGGAGCCCTTTCCTCCACTCGGTGACAGAACTGTCAGCGCTGCGCAGCGCAGAGCTGCCTTCTCACCCCTGGTGGGCATCGGGGTTTAAAGTGCATGAAGACTTGGTGAAGACCCTGTCAAAATGTTAAAAAACAAAATAAAAAAGTGCATATACTGATGCATATAATGGCTAAAGACCAACTGCTGTTTCTAAAATGTTTAATTAGAATCATTTTTGTTGTTCTAAAATGAAATATCTTGTTGGAATAAATAAGACTTTAGGACTTGATAACTACACTCACATGAAAATGCTTTCGTGAGCATCAGTTGTACGTAGTCTGCCTCTTTAAAAAGCTAAGGTAGCCCGGCTGTGGTGGCTCAGTGGATTGAGCATCCATCGTCCCATGGACCATGAGGCTCTGGGTTTGATTCCTGGTCGGGGCACATGCCTGGGTGGCGGGCTCAATCCCCAGTAGGGTGTGTGTAGGAGGCAGCCAATCAATGGTTCTCTCTCAATATTGATGTTTCCATCTCTCTCTCCCTTTCTCTCTGAAATCAATAAAAATAATTTTTAAAAAAGCTAATGTACTATTCACAAACAAGAAATATAAGCTTGCTGCATTTTATTCATGAGCAGTACTGATTAAACAAGGAGACTCCAGATCACAAAGACCCAGTGGCTATGGCTGTCAACGGAGGATTCACATTCATGAATTTTCTAAAGTTCTTTCTGTATATAAGCCCAACGTCAAGTCCAGAAACAGTTAAATAACACATTTAGTCTGTAACCTGAAGTACAATGACATCCGTGAAAAAGTAAAAGATACCACGGGTATAAAAGTTGTTTATGAGAACATGTATAGCTAAACATAGGCAGATGTGTCCTTATTTAAATATAGACATGGCAGGCCCTGGGACAGGTGTACAATCTACGAAACTCTTTCCTTCCGGGTGCTGAACACGCATGCACTCTGTATCTATCCCTTTGGCTACTTCTCTCAGATAAGAGCCGGGCACGTCCGCCATGTCGACTCTGAGGCTAACACTTCCCTTTCATGGAATTCGTAAGTGCAAATATGACTGTGGAACACTAGGCATGAAGTTGAGAAAGACAACAATGGAATCGACCAAGCTTATCAGTCTCAGAAAAGACAGCAAGACCCTCGCTAACTGATGCCAAGAGAGCAAGGACCTGAGGAACCACCGAGAAGAGAAGTGGGGGACCCTGTTTAGGCAGGAACATGGGGATAGCCCTCCACAGGCAGTAGCAGCTGAGAGGTGTAAGGGATCCAGGTGCAATGGCAGGTAAGCTGGACTCCAGGGCATTCCTGGGCTCGGAGGAGGACGCCAGCTTACAGGTGCAGCAGTGGGATCACTGAGACGTAAGGACTTGAGAGGTTGTAGGTACTTACAGCAGATACATCTAAAGGAAGGACTCTGTTGGCCAGGCATACCTCCGCCTGAGTTTATGCTTTCTTAAGGCAAAGACACCCAGCTCCATTTCCTCCTTCCTACTCTTCTGGCTAAAAGTGAGCTGAAATCTGGAGTAGAAATATTATTCTCTCATCTGTCAAATAGTAATCACCTTGGCAAATTAACATTCCACCTGTTAAATCTAGTGGCTAAAGCCTCCTATTTATTCAGGTATACTGTTTATACGTATGTGTTAATGGGGTAACAGTTTGTCTGTTACTCCATTAATATTATAATTTTATGCATCAAATGTGGTACTGCACTTGATCATGCCAATCTCTCCCCCCCTCCCCACAGTAGTCAAAACTGTGCAAACCTAGAGTTTTTTTCTGACCACTGAAAATTAGTTATTTTAACACTCCTTGACCCGAGGCACTTTGGGCAACCATGGTCAATGGTTAAACTGGTAAATAAAGTGGTACAGATGGAACAACGGACCTGCTATCCTGTCCTCATGTTCACTACGGATAAAACTAAGATCGGCATTTTGAAAAGTCACAAGAGAATCTCATTACGTTTTGCGTTTGAATTACGTGTCCATCCATCAGTGTTGCATTGGTTTCTAAGAAAACATCCCTCCTTAGAACAAAAAAGTGTATTTTCACCGATGTAAGGAAAAAAGGAAAGATCTATGTTGTTCGCCGTGGCTGCTGAAAACTGGCCAAAGACTCTCCGTGGCCACTTCATTTTTGAGGAACCACACAGCTGTGAATTTCATCCACTTTTTAAGACTTACTTCACAATTGAGTCCTGTAGCAAATACGAAGGATCCCACTTCTCAGAAGAAAGTCTGATGAAATGAGCCAAATGCACCCCTTTACTGAGTGTTTAGGAGACGATCCCTACCTGCGTGGCCGGTCGGACTAGCTGATGGGCAGACAGGCCCCACAGACCGTGTCCACCTTGTCCTTTTACTAATTAAAACCCAACGACTAGGACACAGACGCCACACCACAAAACAAACCATGCTTCCACAACGCCCTGCAAGCATTACAAAACTAATTTCCTATTTTCAATGTTGTAAAAATAGACGCGTCTTCTCCAAAGGGTCTTGTCCACGCTGACGGATCTGTGCGGTCCCTCTGGCCACCGAGCCCAAAGGCAAAGGTCATACTTAGCGCTCCCCAAGTCCTGCCTCACATAAAGTTGCACAAGGCGTGGAGGGCGAGAGGGATGAAGACAAAGCAGGGGACCCTGTACAAGTGTGTGGACCCGAAAGCAATCACACCGATCGCCAGAGGAAGTGGGAACTGGGAAGTGGTCTTCAACAATTTACTGCGGAGAGAGAGAAACACACATCACATAAAGTGCACTCTGAGCAAACACAAAGTATGCTGATCATCGATGCAGTTTAGAGAAAGTGTTCTAAGTGACTTTAGGTGAAGCAGTTTTTCATATAGTCAATTCAACTGTCCATAATTTAAAACATGATCAAGCCCTATTCTGGTTAGAAAAAGAAATATTTCCATAAAATAAGTAACGAGTTTTGTTTCATCTTCTAAGTTTTAACAATAGAAAAATACTAGCTGGACTTCTGTTCAGCGATTCTACCTCTAGAAATCTACTATCCTAACAACAATAATCAATAATATTTACTAAGACTCAGCTACTGAAATATTTAACCCTACTTAAAATAGCAAAAAACCCCATCAAATAAAAAAGGAACCATCCTCAATTCTTAAGAGGAGCATATAAGACAAGACACTAAATATTTTTAAAAGAAAAATACTAATAGTTCCTGACTTATGATGGTTAGGGTTACACATTTTTGATTTGTCGATGGTGCGAAAGCAATATGCATTCAACAGAAATTATAATTCGAATTTTGATCTCTTTCTGACTAGCAGTAGGTGGTAAAAAACCCTCTTGTGATGCTGGGCAGCAGCAGGGAGCCAAAGTTCCCAGCCCACCACCCATATTCTCTGGTGTCGTATTAAGTGCATTTTCCGCTTACGGTTTTTTTCAATCTGTGCTAAGCTGGTCCACCATGAGTCAGGGAAGCATCTGTACAAGTAGTGTCTGCTCTATCAGGAAAGACCTTTAACTTTGAAAATAGAGAAACTGAGGATAAGAGGGGTTAAGAAACTTGCCTAAGGATACGGAGCTATATGATAGCAGAGCCAAGACTAAACCCCAGGCCCGCCTGATTCTAGAATATCTGCCAGAATCAACAGAAAAGGCTCTGAGAGCAAACAACCAGCCAATGAAAAGTCAACTTTTACTACAGAGAGTTTTAAACATACACAAGTAGACTGACAGTACAATGAACCTCATGTATCCAGTTTCAACAATTATCAAGTCATGGCCGAAGTTACTTTACCTACATTACTATCCACTTCCATTTCTATATTTTTTGGAAACAAATCTTAGACATCATATCTTTTAAGGGTTAACTTTTTAAAGAAAAAACATTATTATATCCTAATAAGTAAAACCCATAATTAAGAAAACAAATATAATATACTTCCATATAAACTATATTTGTATTTATACCATAATTACTATTATAGTTTTCCCTGTAGAAATAGTCAAAGTATTAGGAAGAGCATGCTTCAGACTTTATAAAAGAAAGGGTGATGAAGCCAGGAATAGATGTGAGAAAAAGAAAGATTAAACAACCATACCTTGATTTTATTGAAACATTGTAAGTATTTCCAAGAATGGCCATAGTTGGAATAAGGATAAATGCCAAAGGTTTACATGGATCAGGATTAAGTTTAAAGTAATACCTATATCAAAGAGAAAAAAAAATAAAACATAAATCAACAAGGCACACCTTATCATCTCACATGATCAGAATCAATCAACTTCAAAAAATTTCATAACATTCCAGTAACAATAGAGGCAGAAGAGTGCTCTAAGCAGCTCATGAAATCTTTGACAAATTATTTTTGCTCTAGATCATCTTTATACCCAAGTCTTATATGGAGACTTATGTTCAGAAACTACTACAGGAAATAAAAATATTCACTATGAACGCACTTCCTTTTTATAAGTATATGCCTGAAAGTTAATATAAAAATTTTACAGGAGGAAAAACCAAGACGGCAGCATAGGTAA